ATCGATGCATCAGTATTTTAATTTCACCGAGGCATCAGATTCAAAGAAATTCAAGTTTTAACTGTCTCTCTGTCATCTTTACACAAAAACTACTGAGCGGATAACAACGAAATTTCCACTCCGTGGAAGAATGCAGCATGTGTCTGAAATGAACCCATTTGAGTTTGGTGCAGATCTGAGCATCTCTGCAGCATTTTCCAACCACGTCAATCTATGACGGAAGCTGGAGTGCATTCATGCACCTGCAACAGATTCTGAGTGAAAGGGTTTACAGACTAAAGAGTGAAAGAAAGGTGTCTTCGCTGGAGAGAGTGCATGCCGTTTGCAGAAATTGCCACTGAACCGACGACGTCTGACTGTCTGTGTGGATGGTAACAACTTTATGGATGATAGCACGAGTGAGCATGCTGCAAATAGCACTGCATCGTTAGCATATACTGTTTATGACCATTCAGAGAACTCTGTCTGGCTCATACTGTCCCTTAACTAAACCCCCTGTCCTGTGCACGAGCACAAGTATCAGTGTTCAGGTAGTCCAGCTTTCTTTCCAAAATAGAGAGCCAGGGCTGTGTATTAAAACTTTAGTTTAAATACACAGCACACCTCTAGGTAGTTGTGAATGCATCAAAGGCTTGTCACTCAAACCACATTGGGAGGTGGTCTGGAACAAGTGGCCATATTCTTTTAGCTTTTTCAATGCAAATATGACTACTTACTCCACTGACATTTTATTACCTGCTAAAGTTCTATTTCTGTGTTTCACATTTGATTTATTTGCAGCCAGCACCACAATATTCACATAGACCACCAAATGTTGAATTTCTATTTCTGTTTTTACAATTTGAACTTTGTAAACTCTTCTTCATTTTAAAGCTTCATATTGATTATTAACTCAGCCCCTCTTGTCCCTGCTCTCTCGCTCCCGTCTGTCAGAGTCAGATTGGCTAAAATTACATGAACAGAAAAGATGTATTTGCATATAGAGTGAGGAAGTGTGATCCAATACGATGGTCACAGAGGACACTTGGAGATGCATTATAATACCAGGTGTGATTGAATAACAAAAAACGGATGTAATACCAGGTCTGAACAGGGCCACGGACATCATTATGTATTTTCTTTGCCACATTTCAATTTATGTTTGAATTTAATACTTAAAGTGACCGCCCCACAGAGCATACAGCCAACAAGTTAAGCCAATCCAGCTGATAAACTCTAAAAATAAGAAGGCTGCTAAATGCATCTATTCTGCGCTTGATTTCATGGCGATGTCTGGGGGCAGGGAGGGTGTAGTGACGGGGCGTTTAATGTTTTAACAGGGTCAATATCACAAAGGCGTACTCTGGCTCAAAGCCTGAGTCTTTACTACTACAACCACCAGAGTCAGATTTTTTTCTTGTATCTCCACCTCCAGGATAACTTGGTCAGGTCTCCCCCATACCCCTCATCTCAACTGCCTCCAGTGTTGCTGTCAAAATCTCACCTCTCTGCCAGAGGACATAGCCTAGGCCTGCCGAGAATGTGGCAGCACCACACTATCTCCCAAGAGCCACATTTAACTGCCCCCCACAAGCACGCAGCTTCACACATGCTTAACTGTGACTGGTAAACCTGTGTATACATAAACGTTTGTAGGTGTTCACACAATCCCTACAGCCCTTTATAAAAGTTTTGCTATTTTTAGGTACTAGTTTCACAAAAAACATCCATACACACCCTTTTTCCGTCACACTCATCTCTTGTGTTGTCTCCATCATGCTAATATTTCACAAACAATTCAAACCAAATTAAACTAGTTCCTTCGAGGGACTTGAGTGGTATGTGGGATCAGGCTGTATAGAATAAAACATAATATCATTATTTAATCCAGTTATGTCTGACACTTTATTAGGACAATTATAATAATGACACGTTTTGTGTAAGTTTTCATATAACTGCATGTTTAATAATGCTTTTACTCTGAGCTAAGCTAAGTGTGTTAGCTGGGCCTCTGCAGCATATAATAAAGCAAACATGAATTTTCTTGATAAACACACATTCACAAAAGCAGTGCACCCTGCTTGTTGGGGTTGGTTCATATAGAAACACCTCTGCCTGGTGCAGATGACAACATAGACTAAGTGTGTGCAGGTCTTGCAGATAACCTCTTCTTCTCTGGTTGACAAAGTGCTAATCAGTCAAATGACCTGGTGTCATCTTTAGTCTCAGCGGCACACGGTTGCCAATCCTTGGATTAACTTCTCACGTCAATGTTTTGCAACAGGGATTCTAGACTGAACATCTAATGAGCAGCAGTGAACTCAATTAGTGCGGCATACAGGGACACTGTCAGACAAGCTGATCCTGATTACATTCTCGATTGCTACAAACACACAACCTAAACTTTGTACTAACAACTCGAAAGTGTATATGAAGAAGAGGCCCTTCCACAGCACCACTCTGTACAGCCACACAACAACTAATTGCCAATCATTAAGGTATCTCCTGTCACCCAGGGTGTAGGATTACATACAGATTTATAGATTTAATTAAGTACCTTATATAGTTTTTCCAGATAATCCAATCAATTCAGGGTCTTCAATTGGAATGCTTCTTCATTTACAGAACATGGTGACAACCTTCTAGGCTACATTCACTTTGGTTTTAAGATGCATTATGCCTGGTGTCCACACTACTCCAGAATTTGAAGACCCCTAAAACAGAGAACTTTGGAAATGCTACTGGCCCCGGTTTAGTTTAAAAACCCTGGAGTTGTGTTTTAGTCTGCAGGAGAAGAAACGACAAAGCAGGAACCCACATTTGCATCCTGAATGGGTCTCATCCATCTTCAACCAAGCAACCAGTTCCACGCAGAAAATCTGCTTCCAGTTTACACCAGCATGCAAATGACCACATGAATGATCGTGCATTTTCAGGTGTTGGTAAGAATGGAGATCATTTCTGATATGGAGCTCTTCTAGACGGAGATCAATACCATTTAAAAAGAAATGTCTTCTTTTCTGCAGCATATTACACATTTCCCCAAATGTCATACAGTGACCAGCATGCAGATGCAGCTATGAATGAGAAGTTTTAGAGCAAACTTTCAAGCCTGCAGGGGTAAGTGGATTTACAAAAACATGCATCAGTGGAGTACTCCTTTAAAAAGCGACATTAGTAACTAACTTCTCCTTTACAGCCAATTTGTTTGAACCAATGGACCAGCCACAACAGCACAACTCGGACTGTCACTGGTGGGCCAAGAAAATACTTGGTCACTTAATTGTGTATGTCTGTGCTGAAAGCTCAGGCCTAAGTGTTTCATATGGTCATATTTACTGAAGACTTCAGGAAGACGAGTGTCTGTAATGCCGAGCTGCAACTGTGATGTTGCGCAACATCAACACAACTTTGTTTGCACAAATATTTAATGTGACAGAATGTACACTGTAATGGTTTGGCTCCCTCAAGCTCGTTTTAATATTATACAGAGATGAGCTGAAACCAATACAAGCTGGAAGGAGAGAATCCAACATTTATCAACTTACAAACCACTCACAACAGGTTGGCGGAGATGTTAAGTTTATACGTAACCGTAATTTGAAGCAAATGGGCTTGTGTATGAGAGACCCTGGTGTGGTTTTTAAAAAGTCTCATAGGGAGGAAGGTCACGTTGAGAAATATTTGGTAACAGATTACCAGTCAAATATGTATGTGTTATCAAACAATGACGTCAGACAGTGAGGAGTTTGGTGTTAACCTGTCTTAGTATTGACAGTAGAGATACATCTCAAGTGTCAGAAGGGAGAATTTATTGCAGACCGTGAGAGCTTTTTTACTTGTGCAACGAGTATTCTGCTAAACCTGCCAAGAGGGCAGGACATTCCAGCGTTTTTATGAAAGATGAATGTATAGATGAGATGTAGAGGGTGACACGTTTTGTTACAGCTTTGACTCTGACAATTGATATGGACTGGCACATTTAAAGGATATCCTTCAACTGGAAAAAATCAACAGGCTATGTATTCATCACTGTGTCCACCTCTGTCAGGATCATTGCTTTCGCCTGATCTGCCGAGACAAGTCATTAAGTACTGAAATAGCTGACCTCCAAACATCACTCGAGCTGTGAATAGAATTGTCATTGAACCTGTAAAATTACAGTGTACAGCCACTACATTAACACATGTGTGCAATGCAAGTGCCGATCATTTACAATGCCCCAAAGTTAAACTCTTCCTCTTCCGTCAACTTGTGCACCACAAGCCTACAACCTGGCCTAAAGAGACATCTTCAAGCCTTCTCACAAGCTGCAGTAGCTGAGAAAAAAGGATGTGCAGAAGGGGGGGTCGTATACATGTATATCCAATTTTAGCTGTAGTCTGCTCTGATGGCCTGATCACACGTCGTGCCTGCAGACAGCACAAGTGAGCTGAGGTTTCCGGATCAAGAGCTGCATATGCTGATAGTGAAACTACACCAAAGAGCTGGGAAGGTACACAGCACCACAGATGAGACTGAGCCGCCTGAAGTATGTGGCACATGCTACAGGAGACTATTCTGTGATCAGACTGTCGGTCAAGCAAGGCTGGCAGCAGGTGAGGGATGTTTGACAGGACTCTTGGGCACCGAGATATCAGGGCTGGGAAATAATCAACACGTGGTGGTGTTTGAAAAATACCGTGACAGATTCTGTGTGTGGCTGCATCACGACCTGCTGTAGCAGCCTCCAATAAGATATAGCAGAATTCTTGAGAGGTTAACATAAGGTTAACTTCTGGCTAAGGTAGCATAGGTTGGAGATGACATGCTTAATGAGACGCCTCCTGGCTGTTTTTTGTGATATTTAGAAGCTCCACAATTTGATTTCACTCAACAGCAAGTCGCACGTTTGAGAGGAAGCACGTCTCCATTTCCATACATGGCTGCATAGTGCACACACAAAAGAGATCCATCCATCTGACAAGCAAACAAACACAAGGCTGGGCCACAGCACCAGAGCTCTCAGTTAAAGTGCTTACCTAGGCTCGGGCAGGATGATCTTCTTGCTCGCCCGGGCCGCCGGTGTAGACTTGCTCTTCTCCATCGCCATCAAATAACTGACATCGGCGAGTACTGCTTCGAGGTCCGCCATCTTTCGACCCTTGCTGCGACCACCGACAATAAAAGAACCGGAGAAGGGGATGGGTTTGGTTTCAGGGAATTAAAAAATGTTGTCCGGCGCCAGATGTGACCAACATCAAGGGCCGAGGTGCGTGACGGCGGGGCGGACAATCGACTGGAACCGCGTCGCTGTCTCCGGCTGCAGTGTTTTCACTTCGCCTCAAACTGCCATCGTTGTAGAAGAAAAGGGGAAATTCAGGGCGAAAGACATCGGATGACAGGTTAGGTGAGAAATGACAGTCACGGGGCCCGCTCGATCACCGTCCTTGTAATCCCATGTACTGCACAATGTAAAACAAAGAATGAATGCAGGTTTCTGGAGCAGGAAGCTACGGGCTGATGAGATCTGTTGGTGAGGCCAGCTCCTCCTCGCTTTGTAGTAATCTGTCTCACAGTGAGGGGAAGGTGCACCAGATGTTGGCTCTGGAGACAGCTGTCAGATCCCACGGGTCACTGGGGACTCCTCCGGTCCTCCTCGTGGAAATGTGTCCACACAGTGCCGCATGTGTTTTCTGGGATTTTCCCTCAAAGTGTAAACACACTCAGACAAAAACGACAAACCGTAGCTCCTTCCGTGTCTGGACGCCAACAGCAAACAGTCTTATTGGGTTAAAATAACGCGCGTGGTCAGGTGTCTTCTCTTCGTCCCGGAAAAGTGGCAAATTGAAGGGGGCTCAGGGAGGAGGGCAGTGGGCGACAGGTTGAAGTGTCCGCCGCCGATGTATTGGTTGTGCCTCGGCAAAAAACCACGCAAGTCTTTGGGTTCAAATAAAACCACGCAAGCACAGGTTGGAGACGAGACTCTGGGTCTACATCCCCCCGCAAGAAGCACTCCACACACCGCTGTTGTGTTTGTGTTGCCGTCGTTGTTGCTGGCTTCCTGTGTAGGCTGCAATGTTCCTGCTTATCGCCTCATCAATCTCTCTCTCTCTGCCTCTCGCACACACACGCGCACAGAAAATGTCTTCCGAGAAAGACGCGTTTGAACACTCTGAGAGGTTTAGCACCAAACCCAACCCAAACAGGAGGGCGTCCTCGACTAACCTCGAGCCAAATCCCCAACGCCCGAGAGCTAGCTCGCTTTAGCCCGCTGGCAATGTCGATATTTGGGTTCGTCTGCTAGTTAGCTTCCGCGCTAGCTAGCGAAAAAAATGAAACCTGCTAGCGAGTAGGCTAACTAACGTGCAGCGTGTAGGGAGATGGATCTCGCTATGCATCCAGGTCTGATTACTCCAGCTCGGCGGACACGTTAAAATGTCCCGGTCGCCAGCAGCAAACGCGGCGGGCAGCTGGCACCGACAGATAGCACTGGCTCGGCTTCAGGCAGCGATGTGCTTGACAAGCTAACTGCTGCGAGGAAACTGGCTGCGGGGATTGGGGAAGTCTTGCAGCGTCCCCGGGAAGAAACAGTCATCAAGGGTTCACTCGAGTCAAAAACAACGACACGATGGCACAGAATAATCCATGGCGGCTTGGTGTGTTACCCCGAGCATTGGGGGGGACCCTCCTCGCCTGGAGACCCAGCACAGAGCTACTGACTGTGCGCCGATAGTGACGCTGATGGCTGGCGGTGGAGGAAGGGGAGGAGGAGGGGGAGGGAGCGCTGCTGGGAGATGGAGATCCGCTGGAACAGCAGTGGCTGCACCGCCCGTTAACTGAGAACTTCCCCCGGCGCCGTAAACTCGTCGATGATCAGGCGACACTCCAGGCCCCGGGTTGGCAACACAGAGGCGCGGATCCCCGGTAACGACACGAGTCAAGCGGGTCCTCGTCTACCAGGCTCTCCGTGCTGGGGCAGCCCACGCTCGCTTAAGTAGCTGTCCGTCCGCTGCGTCCCTGTCGGTCGTGAGTGCCGAGCGTCTCCGTCCGCTCCAGCCGATCACGCTGCTGGTTTCCCTGCCCCGGTGTGGCACATGTTTCAGTGAACCCAGGCTCGGGTTGTTTTTCCGGTGTTTTTTCTGTTAGCACAGTGGCTCTGCTCTGTGGTCCGACTTCCTCCCACTGCGGCGGGGAGAGGCTCGTAAAACACGGAGCGGCTCACCGTGGACTGGGCCTGGACCACACTGAGGACTGGGGAAAACAAACATTGTATTTAAGGTCTTTATTCATTGATTTGTCGTTTGCAGGCAAACAGCATCGTCACCCAAACCGCACACGGGATCCTCGCGCAGTTAACGCTGTGATCTCAGCCTCACCACCAGGACTGTCCATATTTGGAGCATTTTTGTCAGTGGAGATTTATGACTGAGCGTTTCACTGGGAACAGCATCTGTTTACAGGAGATTTCCCGGATGATGGAGGGGGGGGGGGCTTTTAAAGATAAAGAAGTACACCAAACAGGCCTATTTGAATTTGATGAGTGCTACAGTCTCGCTGCAGCACATTTAGCATACAAACAGGCTTTAATAATGACCCTCCACCCCCAGCCTGGGTGTCACATTGCATCTGAATGGTCACGCAGCAGCAGCGGCCTCTGATCATGAATGTTGCCGCTCAGTCAGTGGGGTTTCTGCAGATGCTCCGGTCAACAGGCTGGGTAGCGTCTGGTGGAAGCGCAGCGCCGCTCTCCGGCCAGCAGCGGTCCTGCTCCTCATGCACTGCAGTGCCCAGGCCTGCACGTTGCTGTGCAAGGGGCATCATGTCTTAAAGAACAATTTTTACTTTTATAGTTTGCATTAAAGCTTTTGCATCAATTTTATAATTTTCTAATCCACCAACGTGCGTGTAAATGCCAATAAATATTACAATTTTACATAAAGTAAAAGTTATTTGAATGTCATATACAAGCAGGTGGCAGTCTGAAAGAAATGGCCCTGTAATAATCTAAAATTGCTAAATAATTCATGTTAATAACACAAACAATGTCTATTATTTTGTTAGGTTTTTTTCTTTTTGACAAATTATTACTAAGTCACTTAAAATCAATCCTAAAACCAAATTACAATAGATATAGACAATAGACATAAAATATCTGCACAATATACAACACCTATCATTATTTTATTCATTAAAAGGGCTGGTCTTGAATCTAATGTACCAAATTGTAGCCACAAAATAATTTGCATCTGTCGTCATTTAGCAGGTCAGAACAGTTCAACTATGAAGTGATGTTTACGACTGTTCGGTCCAAAAAAAACAAACCCTGCAACATTTTTTGATGAATGATCTCCATAGATGTTCTGTTAGATTAACAACCCAAAACCCAAAGATGTTCACTTTCATTCACATTCTTAATCAGTATTTTGAGTTTTTATCAGTAATAGCAAAATATATTTAAAGTAAAAGTACTTGTTTCTGCAGAGAAGTGGCTCTTTAAATTGTTATTGGATGAATAAAGCATTTTTCTGTTGGAGCTTATTTTATTAACTTTTTTTTTGGAGTAGAAATCTGGATCTAGAACAATGTGATTATGTAAACTGATAATATTTTGCTTGTGTGCAGGAAAAAAAACATGCCACACAGAGTCATTTTAGATTAACCTGTTACTGGATCCCTATTTGATCACACTTTAAACAAAGTGACATGCTGGGGGCAGGGCCCTATACATTTTCTAGAAATCCAGCATGTACCAACCAAGCACCCTGCTGGTTGATAACAGATTAGCATGTCGGTTGCCTTAAGATTCACATGTTTATAGAGACTATAATGTTTCTTTATATTTGCAAGAATCAGAAAAGGATATATTATTTTTAAACATTAATTCAGTCCATTCTAGGGTAAAAAACAACAACAATTTGTACAATTTAGATGAAACACACTAGTGACAAAATTATTAGGATTATTTTATTTTCAATTTCAGCCAATAGATCCCTTTCACCTAAATCTTACACACTGAACCTTTGAATGAATGAGTTTATCAAAACTCTCACTCGATTTTATCTATCTATCTATCCATGCATCCATCCATCCATCAGATGATAAGCAGATACGTTGGAGGAAGTCAGTAGGGTTTAAGAAAGACATTTTATTCAGCACTAGGTAGCAGCAGGGTCAAAGGTGAAGGGTCAAATGGGAAGGAGGGGGGGTTGGGGAGTTTGGAGTAAGTTGTTACTGCTGAATGCGTCGGATGGACTGGATCTGAGGGGTCTGGCAGTGGGAGCCAAACTCCCTGAAGTGTTTGTACTCCCCACAGTGACGATCACACTCCATGATATACTGGTATCCACGATAGCCAGGGTACTGGTAGCACACAAATCTGATGAGAAAAAAGAACATGCTCATGAAATGCTGCAAAAGTTAATTGTTATGAGCGTCTAAAGTGGGATCATATTCTGAATTGCTAAAGACAGGCTAAAAAAAGAAAATTAAATGATTAAGTATTAAATAATAAATGTGGAATGGTAGGAGAAGTTATGTGGCAGCTGGAGGACACTCACGCTCCAGACTGGATCCTGAGAGAGCCAACTTCGTTGTTGCACCAGCCCATGGCCTGGAGGGAGGGGTAATCATCACTAAGCTCACCCTTACGGCCCAGGAAGTTCTCACGCTCAAAGATAGTCATACGACACTCTCTGTGGTTCTGGAGGGCAAAAGAAGATATAACATGTTTTTCCAGTCAGTCAAGTCTAACGCAACCATCTGAGAAACGCACAGGTTTCACGGACACAGTGCATCCAGGCAGTCAAAGAGAAGGCAATGGAGTTTGTGGGAGCTAAAGGCACAGAGGCTGCAAACTAAAAATGTTTTTCTAATCAGAAAAATCACCTTTGTAACTTGAAATTTAGCTCTACGGTGGAAAGGAAGAGTGAGAAAACAACTCGTGAACTTACAGCACAGGCAATTGGTCTGAAGGAGGTCAGTCTTTCAATGTGATAGGCATTGCTACCGCCGAAAGCATCACACTGGGGGTACTCTCCCCTCTCCAGGACAAACTGCTGTCCCTGGTAGGAGGCGTGCTCATAGCCCACCCAGCTAGGGGAGAAAAAGTTAAGAATTATTACCTTCTCATTACAGTTTTATGACAGCTGCAGTGTTGCATTTTCCTGCTCGTCTCTACAAATGTAAAACAGCTTTTTCTTGTATGTGAATATCTGTTTACTCACGCTCCACTCTCCACTCTGAGGGAGCGCACGGTCTCAAAGCCAAACTCCATCACGTTGCAGCACTCGGAGGTGAACTCATGGCGGCGGCCCTGGAAGCACTCCTCGTCGAAGACAATGATCTGACGGAGAAATGAAGAGATGTAAAGCCAGCTGATGTATGATAAATGAGTATGGAAGCAGTAGCACATGAAAACACAAGAGATAACTAACATAACAGCTTGTTAGCTTTGTTTGTTAAATGCACCAAATAGGATGCATTTTTTTGAAAAATCATAAAATTAAGTTAAATTATCTAAATGAAAATGAATACGTTATTTAGTATTTCTAGTGCCCTGATTTGGTCTCCATCTATTCAGTTCCCTGCTTGAAAAGCAATGGTAGCTCTCCTCGAGGAGCTGGTGATAAATTGTGTGTCTTTTCATCTGAGACATTTTACGAGAAGCAGTCGTTAGCATCTCGGGGAAAACGTGCAGGTTGAAAGGACCTCCAGTGAGGTGATGTATGAATCTGTTCCTCCGTCTGCAGACTCACCTTCCAGTGGCCGGAGAACTTGGTGCAATGGTGAGTCATCTTGTCTGGCAGGAGGAAATAAAAAACAGATGTAAGATAATTGGAAGGGAGATAATGCTAGAAATCCCAATGATGAGAGGGGACAGCCCGTGCATACACTGAAGTCCGAGGGGTCTGCTGACATGCGCTTGATTATGAAAAAGCTTATGCACAAAAGTTTGGCTCACAAAGAATTCAATTGCACTCAAATCTAAAAACAGCACAGCGGGAGACTAACTATTGTAAAGTTGTTGCTCTGTGAAAATAACAAGCCTGGACTGCTACACATGTGAAATCACCCACGCAACAGCATCAGAGTCTATTTTATAAATAAAAAAAGTGGCCTGTATACTAGAATCAGCCTGACTGCTTCATTCCTGAAGTGAAAGCATCTCCTACACAAATATGAAGTTGGTAAAAGAAGCCGAAGGTCTCATCTAGGCTCCTCTGGATCATTCTCCCACCAATTCTATCTCTTTATCTCACTTTCTGACCATTACTTTTCCATCATCATCCGGCCCACTGGGTGCAGTGATAGCCGTCAGTGTTTTGGGGTGTTTGTGTATGTGAATTTAGGGGGCCGATGAGCCCTGGCTATGCTGGTCTGAGCTGCCCTGCATGTGCTGGCTGTGCCGTGCTGGCTAAAGGACAGGGACTCACCTTGCTTTGATTCCCTTGGGATGTCCTGCCGTGAGAGTGAGAGGAGCCACGCGCCCCCACCCTTTTAAAGCCTCCCCTGGCAAGGGGCCATGCTGAAAGCCCCAGCTCAGCAGCAGGGAGGGGCTTGTCTTTGTCCCCCCCGACAAAAGCATGGTTAATCTGTGGAGGGGCAGAAGTGCAGACACCACATTATCACCCATGGGCAGTAGACATGGGTACAAGGGAATATGAGACATAGGATGAGAAAATACTAAGGGCAGGCTCGAGGATGGAGAGAGATTTAACAGAAACATTTTTTTAAACTTCATTTGAATGTAGGCATGCAATGAATACATTTTTTCCATTATACAATGTTTCACGGGTCATGTTCTTGGCTAAATGTTCCACAAAATGTCAGTCTGCTTGTTTTATTTGACCAACATTCCAAAACCAACATCTTCAGTTTAATAAAAACGTCAACTCCTCACATTCATCAAGCTGGAAACAGGAAATGTTTGGTATTTTTAGACAATAACAGCACATTCTTTGTTAATTAATTTTCAGTCAATCAATCAATTGATAAATAGACTAATATAATCTCCTTTTTAGTAAGCTATTCACTTGGCTACACATCTTTAACTAATGTCTTATAACTCTTCTTATCTGCTCAGGTATCTTTATGTTTGACAATTTAAGTCTCACTAGCTTCATGAAATCAAATGACAGATTCACTTTAGTGTCACTGGTGTTTATGTAAGAAGATGTGATTTAGTGCTTTTGAAAGTGCATTGCATGTGTACAAACAGAAATATAAACCGAGGTTTTCATCCAGACATTTGGGGTAGAAATACTTCCCCTGATGCTCATGTTAGTACATTAACACTCACTTTGATGACTCTGCAATAAGCTGGTATCCCCAAAAGTATCAATCTTAAGAGACAATCTCTGTTTCTGTTCTCTCTCTAAATTTGAACTACAGCATATGAGAAATGTAAGAGTCCTACCGAGAATATCTGGTAGATTACACAACCGTGTCAGCGTTTGTGAGCGAGAGTCTTTTTATTACATTGAGATTTCAAAATTGGAGTCACACCTTGTTATGAAAGATAAATGTCAGCTATGTTTAAACATGTTTAACCAAAAGGTTCTCAAGTATAGAACAATATCTTCTGATGCGTGTGAGTGTGTGCATCTGTGTGTGTGTGTGTGAGTGAGTGAGAGAGAGAGACAGCTTACATAATCAACAACTTGTAAACATGAGAGCCGAGGCACTTGATGGCAACAGGACTTTCTGAAGTAGCTCTACTTCCTGTGAGCCTAAAGGAATTTAATTCAAGCACACCATCTGTATTTCAGTCACTTCTAGATTCTGATAAACCATAATAGGCACATTTGGCCTGAGTGAATCACTGTATAAGGGTCCATGAGACCAAACCGATTTCTGCACTGCAATGAATCAGCAATGTGCTTATTATTTTGTGACTAATGTGAACATATGATGAACCACAGAGATAAAAGCAACCAAATGATAGGCAAGTAATTCCAAGGTGCAATAACTGACCTAGTTAGCCTTCACAGTCATCGTCATTCTGGGGAAATGATAAGAAAAAACCAGGGGTAGCCAATTGACAGCATAAGCAGGAGGAGGACAATGGGTCAGCAAAATCAATACACTTCTTTCTAAATTTGCATACATTTGGACAGAAAATACAAAGGCCTGAAATTAGATTCAGTCATGTTTGGTTATCAAACCTGCACGATTATTTGAAGGAGGGAATCTAATAAAAAGAGGAACATTGAAGAATTAACAGGAATGTTAAAGAGATGGCAACAAGTTGTACATCCGGAGAAGCCTTAAGAGGTCCTGACAAGGCGTCACCTGAAAATCGAAAGGTCAGATAGTGACAGGGTGTTAAAATCAATAGGTTTCTTCCATCTGAGGGTAGAAATGTGTGCAGTAGATTTTTGTTTCAGTGTAAGTACCCACAAGGTCAATAGGTTTCAAAATCAATGGCTGCTTTCCTGTGGCATGTGCCTAAATTTACTTTGTATTCAAAAGATGTCTGCTGATAGCCGACTTATTTGGTACTCATTGTACCAAATAATACCTTATGCTGACTCATGTAAACATTTCTTTTTCAATTTAAGTATGATTCTGATCATATATATAATAAACGTTTCTTATTGTGAGTAAATCTTGTTAAAAGACCAAAACCAATAAAGATATCCCATTAACAAGCTTTGCATCAAAGCCTCATATGTTTTATGTCTTAGTCCAAACGCATCAAACGTATAAAAACACATCAATGAGCCTGCATTACCATGAACACAGGAAATATTTTCTAGACTAACTGGATCACCAACTGTGGAGTAATCCATCTCTGAGTCAATTCACTTCACTTCCTCTCATTATCCTATACCTTTTTTACTAGCCTATATATTTTTTATGAATCTAACTGCCCGTGTTTTAGAACTTGATACCTGTTTCATTTTTTGCTGTCAACATTCAAATAATACTGAGGTTTGATACACAGCCCAATGGGAACCACACAGATTACCCAGCGGGATTAATTCCCACAAACACACAATATAATCCTGCTTCCATATGAGAAATCATCACATTTAAAGTGACATAATCCAGACATAATCCAGCTGTAATCTAAGATTTATACCACTTTCAACAACAAAGATTCACCTCTACAGACTAGTGAGGATGGATTCCTATTTACGTAATTATCTTAAGATACACTCAAATAGTGATATTATAATATTGGAGAGTCTAAATTACATTATCAAGTAAGTTTGTGGACTGAATTACTTGAAAAATCATGTAACTTTTATTTTGTGACAATAGTTGCTTTAAACAGTTACTTTAAAGATATACAATAGTTCAACATCCTTGATACATTTCATTCTGAGCATTACAGGAGATATTGATCTGAAACTCATGCTTAACTATAGTTGGAGATGGGAGGCAAGTATTCTAGATGAATATTATGAGGAACTATTTATTGATGAAAACAGCTAGGTTCAGCTATCACAGTGAGGTTGGCAAGTGTGTGCTATAGTTGGAGACACTGCACAGAAATAGATCAAACATGTAATTTTATCTGGAACTACAAATTGTTCGTTTTTCCAAATTTATGTCTGAGAATAATCACCTTTAATGGTTACACCACAATTCCAGTGGAATCGCAACAACCAGTGGATTCACTCTTGATTCACTGATTCACTCGATGAACAATACATTTCCTGCGTTGAGTTAAATTTGAATCATGCCAATTTGTGCTGCTAACCTGTAGCAAATCGTAATGTCACATTATAGAGGCTGTCGTAGCTTGTTGGCTGTGTTGCAAAGTCACGGCAGAAGCTAAAAGACTTTTGAATCAACTGCATGAGTCTTATGAAAGACTGAGCTAATAAGCTTGTTGATGACTGCGAGTTCACTTTCTTTCAAGTTTCACTTGGGAGTTTTTACCTTTCTCTTTAGTAGATTTGTATTGAAATAAATTAAACTGAGAAGAAAAGGCCAGGCTGAGTAAATGTGTCACGTGAAAGAAGATAAGAAGTTTGGGGAGTTGAAAATGACTGGAGCTAACATGGGCGGACGTGTTAGTGTTGTGGTTAGAGGGTGAACATCCGCCTCTCGCCCAATGTCTGCTGGGATTGGATCCAGCTCCCTGTGACCCTGAAAGGTCAAGTGCTATCGATAATGGTTGGATGAATAGTGCTAGGATGTTACCACCTGTTCCCGCTCACATCGCTTTAACATACTAGACCATGTATATTTCGAGAGGACATCCACAATAATATTTTTCTAACATTTGGACAGAGACAGGTTAGCTATTTCTTAATGCTTCTCATGTTTATGCTAAGCTAGGCTAATTGCCTACTGACTCTGAATCTTAGACACAAACATGTAATATTAAACGTCTCCTCTCACCCTCAGAATGAAAGGAAACATTAAATATATTTCTCCAGAGCAAAGCAGACTGATTTGATCAAACCTTTGGGTTGACCAATATAAGCAATATATAATAAATCATTGAATTGTGTTGTATTCTTTCTCATAATAACAGAAAGTTTTCATTTCCTTGGGGTTTGTCAAAATCAACAAGAGAAATAAGTCACTTGAAAGAATGATCTCAAATATTGAGTCTTTGTTTTTCAGCAGGAGATTGTATTTCTGTGTGCCTGTTTAGGTGATTGAGAGGGATCCCCTCTTTGTGCCCCCAGAACCTTTGCATTCCTCCTCTCTACATGTAACTAGCTTACAGCCCCACCAGTCCAATGCATGCAAAAAATGCCTTGGTCAGTGCTTTCCTTTGATAGTAAAACGCTTACAGGCAGGCCAGAGGGGCCGGCGGCGTTTCTAGGCTGTGCGATGACCCGGTGGCTTTGGCACAGGCCAACTGTGATGACGAGAGGCTTTCTTTTGTGCTATGAGCCTCTACGTTTGGCCTTTGCCAGAGTATAAAAGCTTGGGTCGAGTGCTGAAGGGACCAGCACGAGCCAGCCTCCCTCACACGGCACTGCAAGCTATACTAACGCAGGTAAGGACACACAGACACAGACATACACACCAGGGGGGGCAACCACACATCATCCAGAGCTAGGGCCCACTCCCTGCCCACCACACCCAGGCAAACCACCATTAGCCTGGGGAAAGACCCAAACAGCAATCCAGGGCCTAAATGAGCCTCCCACATAAACAGCAAACTTGTGCTTTAGTCCAAATCCCCAAAACATACCTACCCTCCATTCCCGAACAAAGTTCACATCTCAACTAAGGCCACAATTCTACTTCACTTCTCCTTTCCTTTTATTTTCTCCTCTATGATCCTTTCACTTCTATTTACACCTGTAATTCTGTTCATCCCCTTGTCTTCTTCCATCCTTTCACCCAGACTCTCCTGAAGCCCCTCACCATGTCTCAGACTGCCAAGTCCGCCTCCAGCCAGGGCACCGATGCCAAGGACAAGGGAGCCCCTGCTCCAGCTGCCTCCAGCAAGGCCACCAAGACCGGAGAGCCTGGCATGGGATCCTTCAGAGTGAGTCACAGCTGTGTTAGACATCCGCAGAAACAGTATTTCTACAGAATACTCAGTATCAGGCTCATTTCAACCAAATTACAATGAAAACGTATCTTTTCATCAAGTCTTGCAGATAGTTTTCTTTTCATTGGCCCAGCTTTTAAGATATTCAATGGGATTTCCCTTATTTTCCAATTTCTAATGTTCATGATATTCAATTAGAGGTGCTAACAGCATTTGAAAAACTGAACAATGTCTGTTCCTAGAAATCTTTTTAAAGCAAAGTGGTGAAACTATTCACTGTGGATTATCCTATAGCTGATTTTTTTCTAATTTGGACAATTTGGAATTTATATTAGAAAAACTAATGGCAATAAATGCCACTATTCTGTAACTGGGTAAGTGGTTAGTTTTTTGTGACTTGAATGTAAAGACCCTTTAAGGTTTTTTTTTCTTTGTGCAAGGTATTGTTTAGTTTTGTTTAGTATAACATTACTTGTGTAATTGTGAAAAAAGCAGTGGTGAAGTAAATACTCAGATTCTGTACCTAAGCATAAGTAGAGTAGCGATATCCCTTGTGTAAAATACACAGCTACAATTTTATATTGAAATTACATTTTTACAGTTTTTTTGGTTGTATTAACATACAAGTAGCATTTAAATCTTTTGGTTAGCCACAGTGGCACTTATATGAAACTACTTTATATACAATTGGGTAGTGTAATATCATATATATTATGACATTACTATAATATTTCATCATAGTTTTGTGGTAAATCTTAATCTGCAAAGTAACCAGTCACTATAGCTTTCAAAATAATCAAATAAACATGGTGAACTAAAACATATTCTGAAGTGTGAATGAAATTAAAGTACATGAGCAAATTATGATGCTAATGCTCAATACATTAGTAGATTAGCACATTGGACAGAGACTTATGCAGACTTTTTATGCTTGGACAGAATAAAGCCACCTTTAATGCCAGTCTCAGTCTGTGTGGCAGGGGCTGTTGCTCAAACAAAGTCAGTTATTTCAAGGTTTTGCAGATTGATATTGGAATTTATGATTAGCTGATTACTTAAATAGAGAAGACTGAGATGGGACACACAAATGATACGTTGATTGTTGTTATGTCTGTTTTTGTAACTTGCAATATCTCCTCTGCCCAGGTCATGCTGTTCGACCAGGAGAACTTCCAGGGCAGGATGATCGAGGTCCAGAATGAGTGCATGAACGTGTGTGACCGTGGCTTGGATAGAGTGCGTAGTATCATCGTGGAGTGTGGCCCGTAAGTGGATGGACTCACATTTGTACACGAACATGATTTAAAACCACAGTCGGATACAGTCTTTCTATATATTTTCTCTAGTCACTTTATATTACCTCTCCTCTAATTCTTCTCTCCTGTCCTCTCCCCCCTTGTGCCCCCCCTGTGCCCGGTGGCCCCCCTTCTCCAGCTTTGTTGCCTTTGAGCAGACTAACTTCCGTGGGGAGATGTTCATCCTGGAGAAGGGAGAGTATCCTCGCTGGGATACCTGGAGCAACTCCTACCGCAGCGACTGCCTCATGTCCCTCAGGCCCATCCGCATGGTATGAGTAACAGTGTATATACTAAGGGCACTATGAAACCTCATCCTAGCCCAAGGTGACCAACAGTCCAAAATCTAATAATATATCGGACAAAGAAAAGCAGCAATGATGAGAATCTTAAATATTTCATAAAATGGTTTGTATTTATATAGAGTATTTCTAGTCTTGATGACCACTCAAAGCGCTTTACAGTACAGTTTTGCCATCCACCCATTTACACAGTGTGGTGTCATACACTCATATGCTGCCAGAACAGCCATCAGGGGCAATTTGGAGATCAGTATCATGCCCATAAAGTCATTTAGCAGTGAATTGTTTCACCTCCAAAGACTCTCTTAGATCCTCACTACTAAAGGGGTAAGGTCCTATTTTTAAAACTAAATCTAAAGGGTTCATCGTCTGTGGGATGGCCTTTTAAGAACATTTTTAACTCTGTGTATGAACAAAGCAGGGGTAGTCGACAGGGGTGCCAGATGAAATGTGAAACTTTCACCTACGACATTAGGATTGGATATCTGCAGTCTGTACCACATTTTATTGCAAATAGCACAAGACAGTAATTTGACTGATACATGTGTCATTAATGTAACACAAAGAGTGTCTCATAATTTTTATATGCCTCATTTGATCCCTGCAGGACAGCTTGGAGCACAAGATCTGCCTGTATGAGCTCTCCGACTTCAAGGGCAACAAGATGGAGATCCAGGAGGATGATGTGCCCACCCTCTGGGCGCATGGCTTCTGCGACAGAGTGGGCAGCGTGAGGGTGCCAGGAGGAGCGTGAGTAGACACAGACTCACATTTTAGTTTAGCTTCAACTGCTGCAGTTTCAATATGAATAGATTAGATCAAGGATCAGTAGGAAATCTTTTAAACAATATGACAATGATAAAAGACTAAGACCAAACCTGTCTACTCCTTTCCCATATATAATTAAATAAATTGCACTGCAAATACTGTTTTAAATAGCTTTCAGACATAGTATAAGAAGAAGCTGCAGGCTTCTTTACACAACAATGCAGCTGTTCATTAACAGTAGTATGACATGTTATCACAAGGCTTAAAGCTAACTTCTTTTTTGACATATCTCACATCTAATGTTTCTGACTGTTCCATCTCGCTTATTAAGAGTCACTCAAATGTCATCTGTGGTCATCAGAACTGCTTCAGTGCACCCTAGAACCTCCTAAAGAACCATTATAAGCTCACCACTGTCCTCAATGATCACTATAAGTCTTCAAAGAGCCCTGAACCTCTGCAGAGACCTCTTAAACCTCTTAAAATACCTTTAGAATTTATATGGGAATCTTGGAACCTCTCAGTGACTTCTACACACTCTAAAGGGCCATACAGAATCCTTCAGGACCCTTCTCAGTGATACATAGATCCACTTAGATCACTAGAACCCCCCCTTTCCCCTTGTGAACACTAGAAATTGTCGAATATCAAAAGGAATCTATAGGGACCAGTTATCACATCATACAGTTTTAGTGATACTAATTTATATAAAAACACCATATAAACATCCTAAAGTAACAGGGGGGTAGAAAACTGACTTATGTTCAAGACTTCAAGAGGATTAGAGACCTTTTACAGTGAAAGTCAGTATTAACTCTCCCCACTCGCTCCATGTCTCTCAGGTGGGTGGGCTACCAGTATCCTGGATACAGAGGCTACCAGTACCTGTTTGAGTGTGGTGACTACAGGCACTACAACGACTTCTGCGCCTTCCAGCCCCAGATCCAGTCCATGCGTCGTATCAGGGACATGCAGTTCCACCAGAGAGGATGCTTCACCTTCACCTCTGCCAGCAAGTGAATCACACCTGCTGGCTGCCGGGTGCTGTTTTAGCCATTACAGCCCTCTCTCTTATAACTCCACACACCGGCTTTCTCCAATGCTTTCCTGAATCTCCACCATCAACGCTCCATCCCAAAGGAAAGACAGAATGAGAGCAAATACACTGGACAACCTTAAATGACTTTTTATGGTGCTAAAAAATAAACATGTTGTGAAAAACCTGAAACCACCCTGGCTGGATAACCTTTATTCATTCCACAGAAAAATCATCATATTTATTTTATCTCCTAGGGCCATATGGTTACAATTGACCAGCCTGCTGTGCAGCTATTATACATAAGGATATGCTGTTTTAAAATGTTTTCCTTTGCCAAAATGATCTTTGAGGCATATTATTATGCATATATTATTATTATTTACCTAAAAAGAAAATTGACAACCTGATATTGACTATATTAACTGTTTTTTGTGTGTATGTTACAGACTGCATATCTATTGCATAGGATAGGGAGATATCATGTGGAATATAGTCAATATAATTATACAAGCTCACTGTAAGTTTAAATATGAATATTTTTGGCGCAACACTTTACTTATATCCCCCATTAATCATCCGTAAGCACAATATAAACATATAACACAGTGTTTAAAACATTACGATGTAGTTATAAGCAAATAGGAACATTTAAAGTGTTATCAACAAGCATTTTCAACAATTATATCTTCTCCTATGAGAACATATCAAAACATATTGCAACTGTGTTTTACCTTGTTGTCATATATTGCATGCCAGCAAGTTAAAGGCACAGTGTGTAGAATTTTGTGATATCTAGTGTTGAAGTTGCATGTTGCAGCTGAACACCCCTCACCTCACCCTCTCCTTCCAAACATGAAAAATAACCTGTGGTAGCCTGTAATTGTCATAAAAACTCAAAAGGTGTTTAGTTTGTCCAGTCTGGACTAATGTAAAAAACATGGGGGACTCCGTAGAGAGGACCCCCTCAATGTAAATATAAAGTATTTAAATATAAAGGGCCTTTTCTGGGGTAAAGAAAACTACAATTCATACAATTTAGATGAAATGAACTAGTGAAAACATCATGAGGATTATTCTACATTAAATGTCTGCCAATAGTTCCCCTTTACCTAAATCTTACACACTGGACCTTTAAAGCTTTTGACACATACATCAGTAAATAATACCTTGTATCTGCTTTCAATTGCATTAATAATGATAATGCAATTCATATTCTCAAAAAAATAATGTATGAAGATAAAAGATAGATGTAAATTCAAATAATTTCTGTCAAATATCTGAGAGGTTTTAAAAATAGTTTCGATTTTTTTATGTCGCCCAACTATTTAGATTTGAGGTGGTTATTCCCAAAGGAACCTGAAGTCCAGGAATAATGTTTATAAGAGTAAGTAATAATTCTCATTCTCAATTTACACCTCTTAACTGGTTTGTTGATTTTAATATCTTATAGCCAATATAGATATTCACTTAGGGAAACAGACCGTCTGGAAAGATTAATAAACAATAGAATATGTACTATAAATGACAGGAAAGCAATGAGTCCTCATGGTTTCATTGTAAGAATGTGTGTTTCCAAATCTCACAGTGAAATACACTGTTTCACATTTTCAGTGATCCTGTTTAAGGATTCCTTGAACCTCTCGACCAAAAGAACATTTTATATATGGTTGTCGAACATTTCAGTTTCCAAAACCTCCTTTTAGAACCTCATAAAATGCACTGGAGCCTTCTTAAATCTACAATCTCCTTTGACCAATAGAACTTATTTAATAACTTCAGGAACCTCCTTGGTGACCTCTTGGACCTTTGAAAAGGCCACAAACTCCTTGAGTTACCCCTGAAACCACTTTAATAGCATCTAGAACCTCCTCACAAGCCACAAAATAAACCCAAAGGACCTCTTCAGTTTCTTAAATGATCACAGAACCTCTTAAAAACCAATACAAGCTCTAGAACCTCTTCAGAAAAAAACTGTATCCTTCTAGGACCCATAGAACCCCCTCAAGTTCTTAAATGACCACTGGGGCCTCCTCGGTGGCTGGCAGAGCATCTTTTATTATGACTGGAACCAAGTCTTTAATACATTCACAAACAATAGTCAATCATCTGTCATTTAAGACATTGTGCATTTGCTGTAAGTCTGCAAACGTCCAGCATCAAAGTCTGATGCATCCTTCCTCTGGTGTCTATTTGGGGCACATGTTGCCTTCACGGCTCCTTGAAAGCTCCTTAAAAAAAATTCGGAAGTTGTTGTAATTTCATAACTGTGTACTTTAGGACGAAAAATTGACATGATCACATGTGAGCCAAAGCAAATAGACGTTTGCACAGTTATTTGAAAACCGGACTCGTTTATACTGAATAACTTGTCAACCTTGAAGGCTGAAAACACCCGTCGGTACGTGAAGGCAGCAGTTTGGTAAGAGCCTGCTGGTTTGAACGCAGGGAGCAGGTTAGCTTGCTGTTGTACATTAAACCGAGAGGAAGGAAACATGACCGCACTGTTCAAAGCGAGGAAAGGTGAGTACACCAACAGTGAACGAGAGATTATATCAGAAACACTGACGCGGGGGACAATGCTAGCCTCATATTAGCATTATACGAGCACTGGGATGCCACAGAGCGACAATTAGCTCAGCCTGCTGTGAAGTCAGTGTTTACCCTGAGGACATTTGAATTCAACACCAGGTTAACACCAGATTATAAAGAAAACGTCCACCAGCTTTAGTCAAGTGACTCAAGTAACAGACTGACACCTGCAATCATGTCATTTAGCCGGTAGCTCCTTGGCTAAACAAAGCTAGCCGGCTAGGTGCTAACCTGAAATGGGTTATTTGCTCATGTTCAGTGAGGAGGGTCGTGATCGCTGGCCGCAGAGCAGTTCACCTGCTGTCAGTGTTTCTCTGAGGAGTTTCTGACATGCACGTTATGAAGTGTCAGTCTGACACCAAGGTGACTGATGTCGACGGTGACCTTTCACCTAAATCACACACAAGCCAGCCACTGAGCTGGTGCTGCCTTCACGGACACACAGGACATGTGGTTCAAAGCTCGGACAGCAGAGCAACATGGGAAGGAAAGAGTGATCGTCCTTACAGGGTCAGTACTTAACGACTATTAGTTGAGGCAGAAAAAAGCTGGACAATTAAAGATCATAAAAACAAATATATGTTTTGACCGCAGAGGACAATGTTAAGCTACAAGAACATAAAATGGATAGGTTTGTCTGTATTTTCTGTTACATAACCCCTCCCCCCTTGCAATACAAAGTTTATGATAAACATAAAATACATAAGTAAATGCATAAACTCACACAGTAACCAGGTCTGTAGTAAACCAACAGAGCAGGTAAAATCATACATTAAATTGTTGTTATCAGTGTGTATCAGTAAGTGTTCATTTGTCCTGAAATGTCTGTAATCTAACTATGTAACTAATCATGGGGCCCCAAGCAGACTTTAAATAGTTTTCTTTTAAATTTAGGCACATCATTAGGGCCTTGAACCACAAAGATGCTTTAGGGGCAAAATAAGATTTGTCCTTGCTAATAATCAACGAAATAAAAAACACTTTTTAAATGTGTGTTCAAAAACGAAAAGAATTGCCTAACTCTTGCATATCAGATGTATGTGATAAGTACAATACTCATTCAAAAGTAGTAATCTTTATTCAATAATCTTTTTTTATAGAGAGCTTTTCAAATTCCAGATTACAGAAAACACTTCACAAGGCAACAATAACAACAAATAATTCTTTGAAAAAAATCACATTTAAATGGCAATAGTTATAAATATATGCAAAACAGAATCAGGAAAAAGACATTGAAGTATGTTTAAAGAAATTGCACACTCAGCTGACCTGCTTTCAGAAGGTCTCTGGGCCCTGACTGCAAACACTCTCTCATCTTTAGTTGTGAACAGGATTTCCGGAACAGATATCAGGCCCATGCTAGAGGATCTTAGGGCAGGAAGGGGACTAAAAGGTCAAACATATAACATGGAGAGCCGTAAAAGTAATCAGTAAAATCTTTACTTTAATCCATTCTAAAACATACTGGGAGCCAAGAGGTTAAAACTGGAGTGATGTGATCACGTCTCTTGGATATGGTTAAAAGCCCAGCAGAGAAAAATGAGAACAAGACAAAAAGAAGTTAAATTTCTGGTATTTGAGGCCTGAAGACATCTATGAAGATTTCTAAAGATAAGACATTCTCAAAGAGTTATAAGACCAAGATATGCTGCAAACCAGACTCTTTTGAAGTGGTGGTGGAGACAATCATGAGCAGCCTCTCCTCCACCTGGTGGACAGACAGCGGAACACTTTCTCCAGCAGACTGTTTCAGCTCCACTGCCACAAGGACAGATACAGGAAGTCTTTCCTGTCCACAGCAATTCTCACCTCTTATAGTTTCTATCCACATCAGAACTCTCGTATTACTGCTGCAATAACTGTGAAAGAAAATGTTGCACATTTTTATTGCAGAGGTTATAGTCACATTTATTACTTTAGTCATTTCAAACAAATATTGCAAATTTGCACTTTGTCTTTTTATTCATCTCTTGTATTTAGCCTTTTGTTCTTCACTCTTTGGGAAATGCCCTTGACCTGCTGCTGTGATACAATAGTTTCCCAAATTGGGATCAATAGATGTACATCTATCTATCTATATGCTAAGCCCCAGCCTTTGATAGCGGCCAGTGTTTTCATCCATCCTGCTCATTTATATGTCTCCGTCCTTAAAGATCGCATTTAAGGTTTGGTCAAAATCCAAAGTTTTCTTCATCTGATTGTATTAGGCTTAAGAGTCCATTCCAATGCTGTGACCTTGATCTCTGACAGAAAAAAAATCAGTATTGCAGGCCACAGCCATACTCCCAACACACTTGCCAAGATTATTCCAATTTGGATTAAAACTGATGAGTTAATGCTGTGACAGACAGAAAGACACCACCACCAATTACAATACAGATGCCCACTACAGCTTAGTGCGTGTGTAACAACCACAATTCTTACGACTGCTGTTGCATTCACAGCTTCAGATTTGTGAAACTTTTATTTTATTTATGAAAAAACACAAAGGAGAATTGTACTGCTTTTCTATCTAGACCACACTGGACCTAGCCCAAAAACCACTATACTTCAACAGATAAATACTGTATATCACTACATTACAATACCCAACATCCAAGGTTATATGCAGTTTTGAAACCTTTTGTTTTTTCTCTCCCTCAGCTCTAGGCTTGTGTCTCAGTGGTTGTCGAAGTTTGTCTGAACTAGCAGAGTTACCAGAGACTCATCAAATACTAAGGCAGACCTGCAGAGACTATGCTGACAGAGAACTGATACCCATCGCCGCCAAACTCGACAAAGAGCAAAGTTACCCTGCCAAACAGGTACGCGCTCATATGGTCTCAATCCTTTATTGTACCTTATGAGTTGGGCTTAAATTTATCAATTTTTTGTAATTGCAATGTTTTGCAGAAACTAGCCTAGTAGAGAAGTCCACATTAAAATAGACAAAATGTATATTTCAAGAATGGCAGTATAAAATGACTGTGTGAAAGGTGTCTCTGGTAGTGATGAATTATTATCTGAATGTGCCACTGTACAGCCAGTTATTCCCTTCAGGAGGTGGTATCAAATATGCTCATGTTCTTACAATTGTCCAGATTCAAGAGTTGGGGGCGATGGGGGTGATGGCCATGGAGGTACCAGAGGAGCTGGGTGGTGCAGGGATGGACTATCTGGCATACAGTCTGGCTATTGAGGAGATCAGTCGAGGCTGCGCCAGCACTGGAGTCATGGTCTCTGTAAACAATGTGAGTGCAGTCTGCCAGCATAGAGGAACTTTGAGTAATAGCATAGCTGGCTGTGCAGAATCTTGGAGTGAACCTGAATCTGATTGTGTTCTCAGTCTCTCTACATTGGACCAATATTGAAGTTTGGTACAGAAGAACAGAAAAAGCAGTGGATCACACCGTTTACCACTGGAGAGAAGGTGGGCTGTTTCGCACTCAGTGAGCCAGGTAAAACACACACACACACACTATTTACCTGTATGTGCATTAATAAACTGCTTTCAAATGTGCTGGAAAAACTCTAAGCCATACCAGCTATTAGCACATGCTGTAGGAAGTCTGCATTGAGGTCTGGTCTGAAACACAACAGACAAGGATGCAATGCTGACTCCTTTTTGAGATGTTAGAACAACAAACAACTACAAAGAGTGACAGCATTTTAATTGCTCTCTGAAAAACCTCCACACCATCATGTTCTGGCTTTCAGGGATAAACTCTCATTCCCAGCATGGCTGAGAGCCACCATCACTGGAGATGAATGTAAACAGTGTGAAGAACAAATGTAGATTAAATGTTAACAAGTAATAAGTGTTGGCTGTGCCTCTTGTGGTTGTTTGAATATACAATGAAAAACGGGTGTATAAAGCCTTCGTAAATCTGTCTGTTAAGAGTTATTAAAATGTCGGTACACCATCGGCCTCCAGAGCAGCATCACTCCTACTTGTTGTAGATTGTCATGTCTATGGAGCCTGACTGGAGAGGTTAACGACATCCTTCCAGAAGATAGTTCCTCATGTGGGATGACAGTGGTGGAGAGATCTGTCCATAGCTGGAATACAGTTTTTTTGAAGATCTGTGTAAACATAGACGCAGGCATAGGAGATGTATGTGTTGTAGAGCAGCGGAGATGTACACTTAAGCAACCGAGTAAAACACTTCATTAGAAAAATATTATTATTGCAGTGAGCTGTAAAGAACCTGAATCGGAGTATATGCTGTGATCACGCTTTGTCTTTACACCAACACAAATTCTCTTTCGAACACCTGCCCAGGTTTTTAGGTAGTTGGCAGACAGGTTGTTGAGAACATCTCCTCAGTCTTTTGTTTGTCTCTTCTTGTGTCTCATGACGCCTTCTCTTTAAATCTCCCACTTAAAATAAAACTGTTTCATTTAAAATTGCAGGTAATGGCAGTGACGCTGGTGCTGCCTCCACGATAGCTCATCGGGATGGAGAAGAGTGGGTGCTCAACGGAACCAAGGCCTGGATCACCAACAGCTGGGATGCCTCTGCCACAGTCGTGTTCGCCACCACTGACAAGAAACTCAAACACAAGGCACAATGCAGCACATTTTAATGTTCAGACCAAAGAGCTGAAGAGTTGTTGTTCAACTGAGCAGTATAACTGTACCACTAGTAAGAACTGCTTTTTGTGTGCAGGGTATCAGTGCCTTCCTGATCCCCATGCCACACCCTGGGCTTTCTCTAGGGAAGAAGGAAGATAAGTTGGGCATCAGAGCCTCATCCACTGCTAACATCATCCTTGAGGACTGCAGGATACCGCTGGGCAACATGCTGGGTCCTTGCGGTGCTGGATTCAAGATCGCCATGGTATTTCAGAGTTTTTACTTCACTGTTGCACAGAAACTGCATTTACATAGAGCTTGTTATACCACTAATATTCCATAATAAGATGAGGATCTGTGGAAAAAGACACAATGAAGATTCAACTGCAGAGAGAATCAGACCTGTGTTAGAAACAGACTTATTGATGTTAATGATAGACCTTTCCAAATTTTCTCAACATATTTAAACCACATTTTGATTAAAAAATCCTCTCTGTCAACTTTTCATTTGCTAATTATCACTTGTCTTTGCCATATTGCTGCTTTTTCAAATCCAACAATAATGTCATCTAACACTTACTCTGTGTGAAAGTCTGAACTGTTAATTCCATTAGTCCTCACTTGCCTAGGGACTTGAAACAACTCACAAACACACGATCTATTAATGTGACTCTGTATGAAAACTTAGACTTACTGAAGCATCCCTGCAGGAGCGGTGAGTTAACATCTTTGTCCGTGTCACAGCAAACGCTGGACAGTGGAAGGATCGGTATCGCAGCTCAGGCTCTGGGTATCGCTCAGGCTTCTCTGGACTGTGCAGCTGACTACGCACAAAAACGCACTGCATTTGGAGCCCCCATCAGCAAGCTGCAGTGCATACAGGTAACACCACCAGTTCGAATCTTTATCCTTATTCTAAACTGCAGCATGACCAGCGTTAAAGAAAACAATTTATTACTACTTTGTAGCTTTAATTTGATAATTGTGCTAAGCTAGAAATAAATCCACGAGGGCAGCCAACAAAGTCAAGCTGCTTTCATACATGCACTCGACTCCGCACGTCCATATTTTCTCTGGAGAGGGTGCATGCGAATGTAAATGTCCAACTGAGACACTTTCTACAGGGTTTATCCGCCTGGCTTCCTCGTATAAAGTCCGTAGAAATCTAGGAGAAGTTGATGTGTGAGCACAGCAGGGGGGGGGGTTGATGATGCTTCTAACGTGCAACAGACGCAAACAAATTTCCCTGTGAAATAGCAGGGACACGTGTAGAAGACACTGAAGAAGATGTCAAGAGAGTCTGTGGTGATAAGAGCTGATGATGGTGTTGGGGTGCTGTAAACACATCACGTGGTCTAAGCAGCAGAGTTATTACATCACTTCCTGTCTCTGTCTGCTGCACCCGGTTGCTCCAGCTCTCGCCTGAATTATGCAGAGGATTTGTTGCTGTTGTGAACATGTGCATAGAACCTGCCGCTGTGTTGTGCATGTGTGAAAGGCAGACTCGGGGTAAACTGTGTAGCCAATTTGTCAAGCTAACAGTTAATCCCAGATGGTCTAAGATACCATATTATATAATATATAACATGGTATCTTAGTTTATTTTAATATTATTAAAAACTGAAAGTAAACACATCTGAAGTGTCTGTAATTATCCCTCAAGGTTTAGGCAGGAATTAGATTTTTTTGATGCTGAAACCATCCCCTAACTTTTTTAATGTAAATTATTTTTATTGATAATGATATAAAGAGAGAGAGGACCAATGAGCCCTCCCACTTGGAACCAATAAATATTTAGCATTTCTAAATCATATAGGTTAATAACTGCTCTTTATTCTTGTGATCAAATAATCTGTTTAGTTGAAACTGGCTGACATGGCTGTGGCAGTAGAGAGCTCTCGTCTGCTCACGTGGAAGGCTGCTCTCCTTCGGGATTCAAAGAAACCCTTCACTAAGGTACGCAGACGCCTCTGACGCCTCTGACGCCACACATTTGACTTTGTTTCAGTCCAGCACACAGTAAATGGCCCTCCGCTTTTCTTCCCGCAGGAAGCAGCTATGGCCAAACTGGCAGCATCTGAAGCTGCCACGCTCTGCTCACATCAGGTAAGAGATCTACACCATGATGACTGTTTCCATGATGTTGAAAAAACCCTCAAGACAAGTGTCTTACATTGTTTATTTGCACTTCAAATCAGGCGATCCAGGTTCTAGGTGGGATGGGTTACGTGGCGGACATGCCTGCAGAGAGGCACTACCGTGACGCTCGCATCACTGAGATCTACGAGGGCACCAGTGAGATCCAGAGACTGGTTATCGCAAACCAGTTACTGAAGGAATATGAGACATAGGCACACCTCTGTCAGTGCCTTTGGCTTAATAAAGACATTTAATCCCAGATCTGAAATCAGATAATTAAACCCACAGACATGAAATCAGCCATAAACAAAAGAAAGCCAGTGTGATTAGGCTCTGTAATACTGTATCAGTGTCAGAGACTACAGTACAGACCTTCACAGGAGATTTACGTGATTTTACATTTACATTTTACATACTTCATTGTCTCAAGGGAATTCAGGAATAAAGCAAAGTGGCAGTCTAGAAGATTTTAGTCCTGGTTGGTTTAGCGACACCTGTATCTGGGCTGATCAAACATTTGAACCAGGTCCAGCTCAGGTCTCAGCTGCTCAGAACCACATGGATCTGTAAGGACCTCAACTCACCACAGTTGTCCTGAATGTCAAAACAGACTTCCACACTCACCTACTTTTTAATAAAAATGTGAACAGACCCTTTTTAAAATCTACACCAGGCTTGGTTTTGCCTCGACACTGTCTCATTACTCCTGAAGAACATGAGTCACATTTTTGTGAGTCACATTTTTGTGTTTGCTCTTTGCTTCCTATGAGGAAGTTAAACCACCAGGGGGCAACGCTGTGTCTTCATGTTCCTTGACCCAGATTTGCTTCAAACTGAATCACAAGTCACTGAAAACAAGTGAAGTGTAACTGTGTTTTTCTGATTTGCTCTTGTGGATGGAAGTTAGAGCTGATACTTGAATGATAATGTGAACGTTTGCCTCAACATTGAAACCAACTCTTTGAGCTAGTCACAGACTGTAAGAGACTGTGTCATGAATTGTATGCTGATTTCACAGACCTCTTGTGCCTCTGTGACATATGTGTACATATTTTATTGTGTGCAAATGACAATAAAAACTAAACTACAATACTTGGTAGATGCCACTGATAGATTGTATTACAGTGCAATAGCAAATGTGATAGAAGCTGAGGAGTGACTTGAGTATTTCATTCTCCCGTTTATCTACTTAACATTTTATCTACTTCTCACAGTTGGCACAACAGCTGTGTTTTCACGCAAACTGGAAAATATGATTAAAATGACCAAAATCCAGGAAATACTATTTATTGGCTCCTTACCTTGATAGCCTGCATCAATTCCTCAATGCAAACACCAGATCTTTTGACTTACTTGATGTCTAAAACTATAATGTCAGCTGGCTGGTAGCACAAGTTTGAATCCAATCGTCTCCGTTCCAGTTTAGACACCCACACGTGTCCTAGGGCAAAATTGAGTCCTGCACATGACGCGACCAATTGCCGAACCGGTAGAAACCCTGCAGCAGTGAGTAATTTAGGAATAATATGTGCATCGCTGCCCTATTCTGGCAGAAAATGTTTTCTCTCGCTACATCACTCTTATTTCACCACCAAACCTCAATGTATGTCAAGTCCATGTTTATTTGATCAAATAACACAAAACTAATAATAACAAAAAATGACTGTAAATAGTGATGTGATGTCATACTTTCCCCCCAAAAAGCAAATAATGTATAACATCTCTAACAGACTTGTGCCAGGTCAGGAAAGACTGGTTCACTCACTGGTTTACTCTCCATCCCAGGGTGGATTCACTTTCTGCCTCCACCTTGCTCTCCATCCGTCAGCCTCGAGAAGACACTCTTCTCCGTCTGATCAGACGTCCTAAACACTGGATGAGTTTAATTCCTCAAATCATTACATTTTAAGGTGACGACATGTTAAGGTTAAGTTCAAAGTTAGGGTAATGGTTAGGGTTGGGCAAGTATAGTAACGATGGTTTAATCCAGGCTCAGCTCATTCAAACCAGACTTTTCACTTTCAGCCTGGTTTTCCTCTAACCATTGGAATTCCCTTAATGTGAATTTGCATTCTCTGCCCCCCCCCACGCCCCCAGTGCACTCTACTGTGTTGTTAGCATGTTCGTGTCTATGTGCACGTGCACGCTCTTCTTTTTGTTTATCCATGTGAGGGCAGTGATTGCTCGGCTGTGGCCCAGATCCAGGCCAAGCTTCCTGACGCTGGAGTTGCACCCTGCTGATTGTGCTGATCCTGGTGATTGTCTGCTGGGTGCATTGTTCAAACCAGGCTCAAGTGCTCCTGCACAGGTCATTTACCGCTCTGTCAGGGTGTGCGAGCCAGGGACTTGATTATTTTGACGTCATTTTCTGACTATTGTTTGTTTCCTTCATTTGACACACAAACAAGTACACAGAGGTATACACACACACTAAAGTGAAACAGATGTGAGCATCATATTGAATTCATATTATTCGTTTTTTGTAGTGGCACTAAAATCTGAGCTTCACATAGAATCACTATTTAGCGTTAGGAGAAGATATTGGCATATCCTGCCAAACCACATCCTTGGACCAGTGGAGGGGAGCTTTTAGCAGCTAAAGAGCCAGATGTTTCCCCCGGGAGGTGGTGGAGACCAAACACAGAGATGAAAGAGAGGGAATACACAAACATCGCTCACACAAATAGTTATGTTGCTCGAACTGAAAGAAACTCTTTTAAACCTATTTTTATAAGTTGATTCATCAAAGATATGTTGTGTTTACAGCTTGTTTCTACAAACAGTGAATGCAGCTGTAAGACATTTATTTCAACTGTCCTAACTCAAAATTTAAAATTTGTATCTTGTATGATTGAATGCTTAGAATAATAATAAGCATCTCAAGCCTTAATTTTCCCCTTTCCCTTGAAATATGTCCACTGATGCACCTCCACAATCAATAACACATGCTAAATATCATCTGTAATGGATGGAATAAAGTTTTTTTCACAAACCTAATAACATTATTTCTGTCCTCGTGGATCACAGCGGACATTTAGGCTAAAAACATAGTGAATTAACTAGTTTGAGTCAAATTTTAAATGTCAGAGGTTAGGGGTCGCAGTAAGTGATCACCCTTTTACTTGTATTTGATTTGGCTGCAACACTGTTTAGCCCTGAAACTCCAAAAGTGTTGTGTGGACTCAAACTACCTCCATAGTGGTGAGTAGGTAATGAGTGAATTTTCACATATGGGTCAACTATCCCTTTAGATGTAATCATATCCCTGGTGTATTTAGATGGAATCCCCTGGTGAGACCATCGATGGACCCGCTGCAGTTGGCCTATCCTTCTGGCATCAGGGTGAATGACGCCGTTATCTACCTACAACACAGAGTTCTTTCTCATCTGGAGAAGCCTGGGAGCAGCAGAACTGCCTCCAGATCAATGCGGGGAAAACCAAGGAACTGGTGGTGGATTTCCACAGGTGCAGACATTCCCCCCCCCCCGATACCGGTGAACATCCAGGGAATGGACATAGGGTAAGTGACTTCTAACAAGTGCCTGGGTGTTCACCTGAACAATAAACTGATTGGACTGATCATGCCAGTGCGACTGAGGTCTTTTGGAGTGCAGGGGGCGCTCCTAAAGACTTTTTATGACTCTGTGGTGGCATCTGCCATCTTCTTTGGAGTGGTCTGCTGGGGCTGCAGCATTTCAACTACTGACAGGAAGAGACTGGACAGACTGATTAGGAGGGCCAGCTCGGTCCTGGGATACCCACTTGACCCAGTGGAGGTGTTGGGACAGAGGAGGATGATGGTGAAAATGTCTTCTGTCATGGACAACCAGTCCAACCCCCTGCAGGACACCTTCACAGCACTCCTTTAGCACCAGACTGATTCACCCTTAGTGTCTGAGGATAGGTGTTGCAGGTCGTTCCTTCCTGCAGCAGTAAAACTGTCCACCAGCTCTGCTCCCAGTAAAACTACATGCACCACCACTATGGACTGTCACTTTAACACTTCTCAACTGTGCAATATTCACTGTACTATTCATTTGTCTGTGCAATATAAGTGGTTAATGTGCAATCCATTTACTGTACATATTCTGACACATTATCTATTTCTCTACACTGTATATACCAGTTTAATTACATTTATATTGTTTCTATGTTTCTATAGACTTCTTTATATTCCTTCACCCAAGTACTGCATGCTACTTATTTGATATCTTCTTGCTGCTGTAACATTGCAAATTTCCCCATTGTGGGACTAATAAAGGACTTCTTATTCTTATAATTTCAAGTGTCAGACTAGAAGTTAATTAATTACCAAAAAGTTCAAACCCAATCGGTTGCAACACAGAATAATATAAATAACCTAAATGTTATCTGTTAATCTCCTGATGTTTGGCTCTAATATCTTTCAAAATAGTGTCTTATGATGCTAAAAATATCACATTTCAAAATTACTCCAAAGACTTTTAATCCCAGGCTTTTTGTGGGCCCTCACCACAAGAGGGGGAGGGGGGTTAAGTTAATGCAAATTATGACTGCATAAATCACTTCTATCTTTAAAATTTAAAAAAAACACACCGGCCTACATCTGATAATGAATAACAAGGAAAGACAGTTAAATGTTTTTATTATAAAATGTGTCTATTGAAAGACTTGAAAAAAGACATGAAGTTCAAAACACTGTACATGTATTCAAATGCAAATGTTCTCCTTCGATCACGACATGAGTGCACATTGGTCTGACGGGCTCCACTGTCTGCTGCACGTTCACTGTGGGAACTGAGCAAAACCAGTCCAGAGGAGTAACAGTGAAGCTGTGCAGATATTCAGCTGAGGCTCGACCCTCGACCCAACCTGCACCATGACCTGATTACAACACTTGTAGCATCAAAACAGTATAGAAGCCATTAGGAGCATAAATAGACTTCTGCTGCATGAAAAAAGCCCAAAGAAATGACATTCAGTTCATGCATGGTAAAAGAGTTACAGTCACAATGTGCTCTAATGTCTTCGGGGTCACCTCAGTGTGACCCTGCACATCACTTCAGACTTTAACAGCAGAAATCTCTCGGCTCAGCCCTAAAACAAAGTGTCCCCCAATGAAAAACTCTGACTTTACACATAATGCTTCTTGTCAAAGTCGCCATTGACTGTGATGGTCTTGGTGGGGGCGTATTTGATGGGATACGCGCCCCTCACCACCTGAGAGAAGGAGCAGCACAGCAGGGTCCCGCCGAGCAGCAGCAGCGCGGTGGCCGCCCAGCCGATGTAGATCGCCGCCCCGATCTCCCGCTTCTTGGACGGAGGCACCTGCGGGTTGTGGAAGTCCACTATGATGTTGTTGGCCATCCAGCAGAGAGGCACCAGCACGAACAGGCCGCTGATGATGTACAGGACCCCGCCGACGTTCACCACTTTCGCCTTCACCGTCTCTTCCTTGATGCAGTTGGTGCACTGCGCCCCGGCCACGGTCACCGTGAGGGCGACGACCCCCAGCACGGCGGAGACGATGGTCAGGGCCCGCGCCGTCTGCAGGTCCTGCGTCAGGGCCAGCACCGAGTCGTGGACTTTGCATTGCATCTGCCCGGTGCTCTGGACCACGCAGGACATCCACAGGCCGTCCCAGATGGTCTGTGCCACCACGATGTTGGAGTCGATGAAAGCGGTCACCTTCCACATCGGCAGCCCGCAGGCGACCATCACCAGCAGGGAGCCCGTGAGGCACAGCGCCAGGCCGAGGAACTCCAAGCACGCAGCAAGCATGGCTGTGCCTTTAACAACTCCCTGACACTCCTGCTGAGAGAGGCGAGGTTACGGGGTCGTGTCGGGGGTCTCTCCTCTCAGCTGGCTGGTCTTGGTGCCTCTGGTCGCTGGCTTTGCGCGCAGACTCTGGACCTTTTCATTTATGGGACCAACAGACTGCCGCTGCTGCACCTCCAGCAAAACACCGCTCACAAACTTTGGGCCAATCAGCAGCAACAGCGTCTGTGTCTCAGCCAATGGGGGCTCCACGTGCTGCACGCGCGCACACGCACGCGAACGCACTGGTTTGTGTGAGAGTATTTGTTTTACCGTTGGAGCAGCAGATGTGTGGGGTCTTCCTGTGATTCAGTGTGCGGGAGGGGCGGAAAGCAACGCAGCTGAAATGGAAGCAGAAATGTGGAGTTTATCAGGATTTCCAAGTTATTATTCGGGTTTATAATAATAAACCATACTGCTTAAAATACCACTTTACAGACACCTTGAAGGACAATGCAAAGAATCAATATGTTGGGAAAGATATGGGCATATCCTCCCAAAGCACATCCTTGGAGCAGTGAAGTGCAGCTTCTATATAGCAGCTAAAGAGCCAGATGTTTCCGTCTGGATGTGGAAGCCAAACACAGATAAAAGAGGGAATTCAGGGACATCACTCCAGAGGAAACGTCATATTACTCTAACTGCTGGATGTGGAAATATCAGACTGATTACACTTCAACTTTATTTAGTTAATAAGTCAAAGTTATGTTGTATTTGTTTACAGCTTGTTTCTCCAAACAGTGAATGCAGCTTTAAAGGTCCAGTGTGTAAGATTTAGGTGAATGATTTTTGGCAGAAATTGAATATAAAATAATCCTAGTGATGTTTTCACTTGTGTGTTTCATCTAAATTGTATGAATTGTTGTTTTCTTTACCATAGAAAACCATTTAAATACTTTATATTTACATGGAGGGGAGTCCTCTCTGTGGAGGCCGCCATGTTTTTTACTGTCGTCCTAACTGGACAAACTAAAACCTTTTGAGTTTCCATGACAACTGAAGTTCACCACAGGTTCTCCCTCATGTTGAGAAGTGGAGGGTGAGATGAGGAGTATTCAGCTGTAATATGACACTTCACCTCTGTCACTAAATTCTACACACTGAACCTTTAACACATTTATCTCAACTGTCCAACTCAAAATTTTAAATTTAAATTGTATTTTATGTTTAATAATCATAATAATTATTCTTATTCTTCACACTGTTGTAATTACTATGATTATTTATATTATTAGTTTCTCCCAAAATGCAACTGGATGGATCAGTTCAGAGATCAGTTTAAAGCCATGCAGTCATCCCTTCACTTTTTTGGAAACTTCACTCAACGCGTTAGTTGAAGATTGTTCTACATTTAGAGTTAAGACAATCCTCATGAAACGGAGCCACTGATCCTTCAACCCTGAGACCACACAAGCGTCAATTTCTGATATTTCTGACCCAATTCTTTGGCATGTGACAGACAGAGAGGGGCACACAGGATGCACTGTGTGTGGAGGACAGGGCGACCATGTTGAAATGCTCCATTGTGCTCTGACTGTGTTGATGGAAAGTGCCCTCAGCTCCCCTTTTGTTTTTGCGATTTAAGTGGACTCACACACAGATGTATGGCTGCGGTCGACCTAACATACACATCCTATGCATAATGCAGAGTCAACAGAGTGATGAGAGACGCCGAGGTGCCAGAAGCAAAGCATGCTGGGCTGTAACAGTTCAAACGTTGAATACAATCAAACCAAAACGTGACTCCTGGTTATCAGCTTTGTAGGAAAGTAAATCACGCATGTCTGTACAAGATGCTGTGAAAGTCCAGCAGGTAGATGTTGAGGTGTTTCACTGGATTCATGAAAACTGTGGCCTCATAGTGGTGCCAGAGGAAAAGTCAGAGGACTGGAGAAATCAGTGGTCTAGCCACAGACTAGAATCTAAGTAATGTTGTATTGAATTGGACGATTAGAGATTTGATCAACTTCAGACTGTGAGGACTTAATAAAAAGACAGAATGGTATGGTCGGTACACATCAATTCCTCATGTCTGATTCGCTGTATTTGATCAATTTCAGTTGTGACATTTCTTTTCTGTAGATTGAGTTTCTTGACAAATGTGTCGTGTTCACAGTTTCACGCCCAGAAGAAGAGCGGGCAACAGTTTTTTAACTTTTCTAAATTGTTCTAAATTTAAATTCGATCAGGCCCAGACTTCCTCTGGATTCCTCTTCATCACATACTTGATGTGAAATCTGGTCAGTTTGAGAGCAGCATCCTGCGCAGAGCTTAGCGTTGTGTGTTTTTGTGTTTACTGCAGACAAACTGGTGCGTGTAGATAAAAAGCTGGACCACACCTGCTATAATTACTCTGCTAATGGAAGTGGAAGATGCCCAATCTCAGTCTCTCAGCTTTAGTCATGAAGCCACTCTGTAAAGAGAGTGAGGGGGCTGAATCAGACCACTGGTATCAGGCCCTGGAGGTGGGGGTGGGGGCTGCCTGCTGACTGACCCATTCGGATGCCACAGCAGATAAACACAAACAGGGTGGAGGAAGAGCTGGCTGCCGAGATAAAGTCTCAAATAACCACAACGGGAGCAAACGGGTGCTCAATAATAAATATTTGTTCTTGCACTTTTAATGACTGCACAACTTAAAATAACTCTGCACAGTGTGTATGGATTTTGTTTTGGGCTTGGCTGCATGTAGTTTACTGCTGAATCGATAATATGACACCAAACCAATGATGGCATTTTCAGATTAAGGACAGAGGTAGCAGGTGTCGCTGCAGCATGGACGTCAACATGCTGACAAACAACATTCCTGCAACCAAACACAATCAGCTCTGAGTCTGGAAAGATCATTATTTCACAAACACACACACACACACACAGACACACGTGTACATGAAGGGGAATACGTCATTATGTCACGTAGTAGGTGAGTGGGTCAAAAAAACAGTTTTCCTGTTGGCTTGATAACACGAATCCAACAGTCTTAATTACAGCCAAGGTTGGTGGCTGCCAGCGGTGTGTGTGTGTGTGTGTGTNATTCTTATTCTTCACACTGTTGTAATTACTATGATTATTTATATTATTAGTTTCTCCCAAAATGCAACTGGATGGATCAGTTCAGAGATCAGTTTAAAGCCATGCAGTCATCCCTTCACTTTTTTGGAAACTTCACTCAACGCGTTAGTTGAAGATTGTTCTACATTTAGAGTTAAGACAATCCTCATGAAACGGAGCCACTGATCCTTCAACCCTGAGACCACACAAGCGTCAATTTCTGATATTTCTGACCCAATTCTTTGGCATGTGACAGACAGAGAGGGGCACACAGGATGCACTGTGTGTGGAGGACAGGGCGACCATGTTGAAATGCTCCATTGTGCTCTGACTGTGTTGATGGAAAGTGCCCTCAGCTCCCCTTTTGTTTTTGCGATTTAAGTGGACTCACACACAGATGTATGGCTGCGGTCGACCTAACATACACATCCTATGCATAATGCAGAGTCAACAGAGTGATGAGAGACGCCGAGGTGCCAGAAGCAAAGCATGCTGGGCTGTAACAGTTCAAACGTTGAATACAATCAAACCAAAACGTGACTCCTGGTTATCAGCTTTGTAGGAAAGTAAATCACGCATGTCTGTACAAGATGCTGTGAAAGTCCAGCAGGTAGATGTTGAGGTGTTTCACTGGATTCATGAAAACTGTGGCCTCATAGTGGTGCCAGAGGAAAAGTCAGAGGACTGGAGAAATCAGTGGTCTAGCCACAGACTAGAATCTAAGTAATGTTGTATTGAATTGGACGATTAGAGATTTGATCAACTTCAGACTGTGAGGACTTAATAAAAAGACAGAATGGTATGGTCGGTACACATCAATTCCTCATGTCTGATTCGCTGTATTTGATCAATTTCAGTTGTGACATTTCTTTTCTGTAGATTGAGTTTCTTGACAAATGTGTCGTGTTCACAGTTTCACGCCCAGAAGAAGAGCGGGCAACAGTTTTTTAACTTTTCTAAATTGTTCTAAATTTAAATTCGATCAGGCCCAGACTTCCTCTGGATTCCTCTTCATCACATACTTGATGTGAAATCTGGTCAGTTTGAGAGCAGCATCCTGCGCAGAGCTTAGCGTTGTGTGTTTTTGTGTTTACTGCAGACAAACTGGTGCGTGTAGATAAAAAGCTGGACCACACCTGCTATAATTACTCTGCTAATGGAAGTGGAAGATGCCCAATCTCAGTCTCTCAGCTTTAGTCATGAAGCCACTCTGTAAAGAGAGTGAGGGGGCTGAATCAGACCACTGGTATCAGGCCCTGGAGGTGGGGGTGGGGGCTGCCTGCTGACTGACCCATTCGGATGCCACAGCAGATAAACACAAACAGGGTGGAGGAAGAGCTGGCTGCCGAGATAAAGTCTCAAATAACCACAACGGGAGCAAACGGGTGCTCAATAATAAATATTTGTTCTTGCACTTTTAATGACTGCACAACTTAAAATAACTCTGCACAGTGTGTATGGATTTTGTTTTGGGCTTGGCTGCATGTAGTTTACTGCTGAATCGATAATATGACACCAAACCAATGATGGCATTTTCAGATTAAGGACAGAGGTAGCAGGTGTCGCTGCAGCATGGACGTCAACATGCTGACAAACAACATTCCTGCAACCAAACACAATCAGCTCTGAGTCTGGAAAGATCATTATTTCACAAACACACACACACACACAGACACACGTGTACATGAAGGGGAATACGTCATTATGTCACGTAGTAGGTGAGTGGGTCAAAAAAACAGTTTTCCTGTTGGCTTGATAACACGAATCCAACAGTCTTAATTACAGCCAAGGTTGGTGGCTGCCAGCGGTGTGTGTGTGTGTGTGTGTGTATGTGTGTGTTTGTGTGTGTATGTGTGTGTGTGTTCATGCTTCAGTGTGTGTCCTCAGTTGGCCAGATGCTTCCTCCTCTGTTTCTATGGCTGACTGTTTACTTCCAGCTCATTGTGAGACTGTCAGTGCTGATACAGAAACACTTAGATTTACAGTCGCCAGAGTGAACTATCACTTTGTAAAGATAATATATATATTTTGTATAACATAGTTTAACATAATCGACCAGTTGT